CCTCGAGAATATCAACACCAAATTGGCTCGCATAGCGAAACAGAACAGACAAGACGGGCCGTATGATAATACGGATAATAATGGGAAGAAACGCGTGAAGTGTAATGTATTATATTACTAAGCGTTGTTGCTGTTTAATGTCTGTTCAAGTTGTAATTTCTACGGTTTTCTGTTTACAAGGACTTCGTTTTCGTGCTACGAAAACGAAGACCGGGAGTCTTAGTTTTCGTAGTACGAAAACGAAGACCTGGGGGTCTTAGGTCTTAGGTCTTCGTTTTCGAGGGTCTTCGTTTTCGTAACACCCGCCATTGCAGTCTTTTCCGCCATTTTCATAATACTTTGAAAATACGCGGAAAATCGCAGAATTGCATTGTGGGGTTATTACCGCGAACAATGTCTTTGGTGACGATCTTAACGAAGTTTGCACCGAAGATAATGATTTTACGACCGCGTATAATGTTGGTAGGACCGAAGATAATAAAGTGCTCACCAGTTGTCGGAAGCACCGAACTGGATGATTTAATCACCGAGTATAATGAAATAAACACCGAATATAATGAAGTGCATACCGAATATAATTTAGTGAACACCGAATATAGTGAAGTGAACACTGAAAGAATAAGCCACCCAGTATAATAAAATGAGCACCGAATATAACGAAGTATGCACCAAATATTATAAAGTAAGAACCGAATATAACGGAGTACGCACCGAATATAATGCAGTAAACACCGAATATAATGATTTAAGCACCGAATATAAGAAAGTAAACACCAAATATAATAAAGTAAGCACCGACTATAACGAAGTACGCGCCGAATATAATAAAGTAAATACCGAATATAATGATTTAACCACCGAATATAAGGATGTAAGCACCCAATATAAGGATGTAGGCACCGAATATCATGACAAAAAGTATCATAAGACAGTTATGGCGTTCCATATGGCAAGATAACAAAAAATCCTCAGCTTAACAAAATTCACGAGCGTCATTCGATAGTTGGAAACATTTTTGACTCCCATCGGTGCTTCTACTGATTAAAAGCTTCCTGGTCTGCGATTTACTCATCAGAAACCTTGATGTTGAATCACTTTCTTTTTCTCCAAACCAAACAAAAGTTGCTACCGGAACGAGATTAACAAATGCATACGTTTTAGAAACATTTCTCCGGGACCAAACTTGTGTCCCTTGAATGAAGTCCTTTCCACAGCGGAATGATAAATGAAAATGCAAAAGCTTTTGAAGGATGAAAACCAGCTGCCTTGCACCCTTTAAAAATGTCTGTATATTTAGCATTCACCCATATACTGACCTAACATGAATTGAAAATTTTTTTTATGACCGAACTTGTGCCCCTCCAACACTCTTCCCTCTCGGATAGGCGTCCCAAAGAAGAAGTCCCAAACGTATTGCTGTCTGAACATTTTGAGCTCTTTTGTGAATAAACTTTATTCAGTATACGTTAGAATTTATTAAAAAATAAAAACTATATTGCACTTTGTCTTAACGGCTAAGAACGCATTTTCTCACGGTAGCCTTCACGTTCAAGGACTGGAAGAAGGATTCAAAATCAAGGCAACATCTGTCAGTAAGTTTATCCTTCTTGTTACATGGTTAAAAAAATATCTCATTTACTATTCAATTAAGTGTGCGTTTCTTCCTTGTTTGTCTCCAAGCTGTTAATACTTAATACTAATTATTATAGCACTACCTAACATGGTCTATAAAATCTCTCTCTGACTTTTAATCTTAAAAAATTGCCTGGCTTTATCGTGAAATGACATTAAATAACAATGCGTGACGGGGCCCTCTGATTGAGTTACACGCTTCGTTCCCCCCCCCCCCCCGAGCCAAATAAACTCAGAACAACGTCATTGTGACATGCCATTGGAAATAGTATTGTCGTCTCCTTGAATGCTGTATTGAATCGCACCAGGTCTTTTCAAAAACTGCCAAAACCAAAATAAAAACAAATTAAAATTTGAAGGGTACTCTTTTTCCTACCTATTCTCTGTTAAATATCGTTGTTCATTCACAAATCGCACATGTTGAGGTCAGCGTATCCTTTAGAGGAGTTGGGGGGGGGAGGGGGGGAGAAGGAGGAGGAGGAGTAACAAACCATTCAAACGTCAGCGCATGTACCAATGCTGTGATAGCTCGGCGGAACGATCGGCGCTTGTTCTTAGGCTGTTATAACCAAGTTTCCTTTCACACTCACCAGTAAGTGGAGGTGTATTACATGCCTATAATTTTTTTTTTTTAATGCTCAAAACAAACGAAATAGCACATGAACAGAGCAGTTTGTCTGTCGTTCTGATCAAAAACTTACAAAAGTACCACAATTTACGGCGTGCTGCTAGCCAGTTGAACATACAGGCTCAGATTCTTAGAGAAGTAATCTCAGTGATTAAAAAAAAAATGACGATCGTTTAATACCAGAAGTTTATTCCAGTAGATTTTGAAAAAATAGTTAACTTTCTCGTTAATGGAATTTCAAAACACCATTTCATACCTTGATGAAATCCAAGAAGGTGAACCCAAGCGCAAAATAAACCTAAAATGATAGAACCCAAAGCCTTTATTATTATCGATATTATTTCAGGCCCTGTCCATTCGCATTCTTATTAAACTTTCTTTTCTCCTAACGTAAAAGAAAAAAAATTATGCTGTTGTACATTTGAATTCTCTCCTCACATCGTCCACAAGAAATTGCGAATGGGGAGTCGTCATGTATGACGACCCATGGGTCCTGCAGAGTCCTCTTTGAGTTTTACTCCAGGTTTACTCTTCTTCTTCCTACCAGGTTTCTGTTGATCTTTTAAGAAACTACAGATCTTACAGTTTCCAGTTCGTTTGTGTGGAGGCCACACATTGATTGCAAGACATGTGCCTCTTATTAGAGCAAGTTGTAGCACTTGTGGCATAACTTGGGAGGGAACATGTCAAGGTCATCTTTACGAACTGTGACACCAAAGGCTGTAAAAATTATCTCTATCTTATCAGCGCAGAGAAAACTGTTCTCGTATCTTTTGTCTTCTACAGTCGCTGTCTACAAATTCGGCAAATTTTTTGCAATATTTTTTGATGTTCAGTGAGACTAAAGGTAGCCATCTAAATGTATAATCGAACCGAGTACCAAATTAAACTTGGACGTAAGCAACGCAATACTAAATTGACTCCAGAAATGTTTCGAAATTCCTTTTTGTGACCTTTTATTGCTTCAGAAGGGTACACTATTTGGGTTTTTACCTTGTTTCAGGAAAAGGTGTCTATTTATCTCTCTCGATCGGTTCTTCAGGGGAGCGGGAATATTTGCAATCTTGTGTTATTGCTAGTAGTGCGTTCTATTTGAAGAGGAAGGGAATACTCGCAGTAAACCCATGTGAATCATGCCAAGAAGAACGATTTACCCACCAGATCAAAGAACAAATAGTAACATATAATTGAAAGTTTTATTGTCCCTGATCGTGATCGAAAATTTCCACCGAAAGAAACGTCTTGTCCGTGCTTTCATTATTTCTGTAGCTTCCCGTGATGGATCGATAACGTACACTTTTTGGGAAGAAGATCACATGCATGTTGTGCGACTTTCTTGCTCGTAATAGGTGGTCGTGGATACTTTCGCAGTTTGTCATACATCTTGTGTTCTTTACTTAGCCCATGGGTGAGCATGATTGTATCAAAAAGATAAATTGGCGTACTTTAGGGAAATTCGTTCGAGGTCAAAGAGGAAATGGACGCTATATTTACTATTTCGGTGGTGAAAAGTAATCGCGGATTACACTGCTCAAAACAATTCGGATTAAAACGTCTCGGTACAGAAACTTGCTGCAAAGGAGAGATATAAAGCCAGAGTTGTTTCTTTATTGACAGAAGTATTCGAATCAATCAGAATCTTGCCTGAAAATAAGAAGACCTCTAAGAGGTGATAAATCATTTCGCGTCAAAACTAGGTGCCNGCCTCTCAGCTGTCGCATAGTTAACTATCCCGCACATGCATTATTTCCTAAGCGAACATTAACCAGAGAAGCAAAAAATAATATGTGCGCATAAGTTAGCTATTTCCTTGGACTTTGCGCTGATACTTTTTGTGACTTAGCTGTCAGTGGGCTCTTTCTTGTTTAGCCGTTCAGCGTACATTTTCAGCGGTTTCAAATTGAAAATGTAAATCTGACATGCGCGAACTAAATTTCCACTGGCGGGCGTTTTGAAACAGCCGTGCCACTACACTACGTCATCCGTCCAAAGTGAGAGATGGACGGTGAGGGAGATCTCTTCTTCAGGGGGCGTGGTTGATTGAGTAGGTACACTGAAACTAAAACTCTTTATTCGCACTGTTTCAATACACCATAAAAATCTTCCCAATGGAGACTGTTGTTAAGTAGGTGGTCCATAATATATTGGTAATTGTTTTTACCGGATAAGCGTGGTTAAAAGGCCAAATCGCAGACGATGGGCGACTCAAATTGATGAAGTCTCCCTTACAGCCGTTATTTGATCTCGTCACGCAATGTACACTCTCTCCCACCAACG